ATATACATAATCTAATTGTTGAATAGTTATACAATAAGAATATTTATAGAATATTAGTCCATTAATAGTCCTCGAAAGTTACCCGTAATTTAATCTTTGTTCGGATATAACACTTAGTTTAATGTAGATATTGTTCTTAGATAATACATTTGTTATGTAATAATAATGTCAGAAACTTGATTACATATAAACAGATTAACAAAAGTATGCGTTATGGTCATCAAGGTCTTTAACCTCTTTGAATAATGATAGATCAAATGTATAACTAAATACTACGATGACAATATCAATACCTACTTTTAAGAAATAAATGGTTTCTTCGGCAGCTTAACCTAAATTCATGCAGTGTATTTTATTAAAATTTGTTTTCCATTTTTTGTCATTATGCATACGATTAAAAAGAGTAGAAATGAAATTCATTCGTTTATTGTATAGAGATAACATTTTACCTATACTATCGATTTTTTTTCAAAAAAGTAGGTATACCTGAAAGTAAGAATTGGGAATTTACTTTGACTTAATCCTAAGGTCAGATTATAAACTTTTCTATTTTATTTCTCTCTTCCTGTTAGTAGAACAATGTGAATAGAAATATAGAAACTCATCTCATCAAAACAATCTAGAGCAAATGTTAAGCGTACCTTATTGTTTTGTTTACTTACATCTTTTATTATTTGCTTTTTATTATTAGTTTTTTGACGATTGATTATAAATGTTGATTAAATAGGTCGATATGTTTGTTACAAGAACATTCATATAGATTGATTGGGGTTATTATTATTATTATTATTAATGTCCTATCCTTACTTAAACACAAAAGAAAGGATTAAAAATCTACCAGTACTTAGTTTATGATCTAATCCTGTCATTAAATAAAGAAACAAAATTTCATCCAAAATCTTTGTTGACCAATTACAATGCAGTAAAACAAGGTCAATATAATCCACTGTGAGTTGGTGGGTTTATGAAACAACCGGTGATTATTGTTTTGTCATATTTCATTGAAGTTTATAAATACGAGGTTTATAAACACTGATTTTACACATAGAATCACTAAAAATCAAGAAACAGTAGGCTGCCATTTGTCCTTGATTTGATTATTCAAAAGAGTATGATTATAACCTCATTAGGAATTGTCTTAACATTGTGAATGAATAGTAATGATCCTAGACGACCTGTTTTGTAAATAAAAATCCACATAACAATCGCTTTCAAAACTGATGATTTTGACAAATTTCTTTAATCATTTGAACTCGCTTCAAGATGAATTCATCAAGATCATGCTAAGAATGATCTATGAAGCTAGAGTACTCTAGGAGTAAAATATATTGTACAAGGTTCTGAATAATGTTTGTGTTTATCTAAAATTGTTTAATTCATTTAATTGTGTAATTTACAAAAGTTATTTTTAAAAAAAATGGGAATTGACTAATAAGTTAACTCTCTAACCGTTGGATATCTGTTTTTTTTTTCACCACCACTACAACATATAAATGCGTTTGAAACATTCAATTCATAATAATAAATTATATTTTTTATGTTTACATTATTGTTAACTTTGTCTTGTTTGATTATTTGAAGTTGTTTTTCTCAAATGGATTACAGTGTATCAACTAAACTTAATCGATTAAAACAAAAAAACCCCATCAGATTAAATGTTATTTTTATCAATTAATTTTACTGATGGGAGATTTTAATCATGTGATGTTTTCTTTAAGGGCACTAAAAGATCTTATTTCAGATGAAATGATTCAGCTTATACAATATATGACTGAAAATTCTTTAGTTCACATATCGTTATTGCATTTATGACGCCTAAATTAGATGCCTCCAATAAACGATAGTTTTGCGTAAATTGAGATACTTTGATTTGATAAACAAACAATGTTTACTACTATAAGTAGAATTATCAGGGGTAGATTTCGGGAAACAGTTAACAATATTTTTACACTAAATGTTCATTGATTGCCTAAATCCTGAGGAATTGAATAGTAAATAATTTAAAAATGACTAAGTGACAAACATTAGAGATGTTACCTCAGCTAGCTTATATACTTTAGGCTTTTTCTACAAAATTACGTACTGGCGATAATGAGATTTGCTAACTCCAGTTATATATTTTAATTTAATGAATAATCACCGCCTTATTCTGTACCGAATGTCTGATTGTAGCAAAACATTCTAATCATAAAATATAGAATGGTGTATATTCATCACAATATATATTTAAAAATGTGTCTCGATGGCGATTAACTAGAATTTGTCTTGATCAAATCACGCTGTTGACTAGTTTTATTCGTAAGAGATGTCATTTTCATAGCACAAGCTGTGAGATGCATAGGTTCCAATATGATCAATTCACATTTCTTCAATGTGTAAATGTAGATGAATATGTTCTAACCACCGTAGTGGTTCAGCTCAACGTGTTCATAAACTATCTTTGCAATAGGTTGTAAGCTTATCATAAAAAGGGCTTTATTATATGCGGTTCACATACCTAACTAGTCAGTGAAAACGAAGAATAGGAAGATGTTTCTAAATATTTGTACAGTAAAATCTAGGCAACTCAAAGTGTAAGTACATTATCGATGTGAGGATAACTACATATGTAGAACAGTAAAATGAATTTCAATGATGATAACCGAGAATGTAAGGTTGGTTCTATGCTTTACATTACCTGTCATTAAGTGAACTCATGAATTCGAACCAACCTAATAGAAAACTTTTGAAACTAGTCACTAGATTATAAGGATTATAAGGTTATTTGTTATCAAATATACTTCACATAACTCCGATCTAAAATCATTTCTATCCATTACATACTATAATATTTAAGTGCTTTATTCAACATTTGATCTAAAATCTTATAGTTTATAACTGCTATTATAATTATCATAATTTCAATCAGAATAATTCATTTTACTCATTTACTAAGTTTATCTGATGAACTTTCGATAAGAATGCTTAATTATATCTTCTTTGATGTATGAATTGTTTTCTTTTTGGTTGAAGTCCTAGCTATACATCTTCATCTATGTTTAACAACTGTCTCTAATTCATTTGAAATTTTCTTTTGTTTTTCTTTTTTGTAATTGAATGTTTCGGCTTTTACAACATGAAAGAAAAAATCTAATTCAAGATTTTAAAATGGTAATCATGTTACTTATAATGTAATATAATGTACAAATTTGTTTTATTTCTATGTATAGTTAATGAGAAAACAGTGATGAGTGATAATTATTGAAACAGATTTTATCAAAGAAATTCGAACAATGTTTTGTAAAAACTTTTTTTTGGAAAACATTTTCTCTCATATATGTGAGAAATCAATTTTCGGAAAGTATATAGATAAATAATTACATTCATTTAGTGTTGTTTACTTGTACCTATCCATTGGTGTTTGGGACTGAAATTGATCAGTCTCTTATTGGTTTAGGTACATACTGTGTAGATTGCCTCGATATTGCCTTAAGTCACAAGCGTTTTTAAGCAAAGATGGATGCACATATCCCAATAAGAGACTGATCAATTGCAGTTTTTTTTAAAAAAAACAATGGGAAGATACAAACAAACAACACCAAGTGAATCTAAACTTCACCTCATTGCACAAACAGATGGCTATCAGGACTTGATAGCTAAGTGGATAACTCCGATGGCGTTTGAAGCGAACGGTACTAGGTTCGAATCTCAGAGTGAACATCAACTCTGAGATGCAGGTACATCCATCTGACGAGTCCCAAATAGGATGAAACGCGCGGCCTGGATTCTACTGCTAGCCACTATCTATCTTTGTTTATAAATAATTACGTTTTATTTGTGTGTTGATTGATATTTTAATTGAATGGCTTACCTAAGTATTGAAATTTATTCAATACTTCAATGTTTTATAAAATTACATTCTATGTGAATTGAAGTTTACTGTCAGAAAATAGTTTAATAACAACTGTTAAGTTTTTTTGTTGATATTCTACATTTTACTTACTCCTTACTGAATTGGACATAACAATAATTTCATTTTTAAAATGTCATCATGATGAAAGTAGAATTCATGTCCTTATTGTTGATTTATATTACTGTTATAAGAGACTTGATAACTATGCTTGTATCCTTAGCTTCAAGCCCACTGTTTTATCTTTAAAGCCAATGATATCATTCGTTTACTTAAACGGAATTAAATGATGAAGAGTTTCTACCTTTAACAAAGTCACTGAAAACAGATTACTTATTATCTCTACTACTGCTACATTTTTACTGTGAGAAATATTCTTTTCTTGAAGAATCTATTTAAGTATAGTAGCAACAAATAAAACAATTAGGTTGTAAGTAAAAGTTTATAAGCCAATTGTACAGTTAGAAAAAAACAGTTAATTTGATTCAAGTGACTTATGTTTTTTGAAAGTTTAAAATAGCTACCTTTTTGTATGTGAATAGTCTATCAATGCAAATTTCTGCAACCCATAATTGGAGATTTTGGAAGACATTATTCTTTCTGCGAGTTCTTCTGTAGAATCAAAGATACCACAAATATTTTAACTCCCTTACCATGAGTCCCTTAATGTTGCTTGGATTACATCGATCAAATTACAATTTAGTTAATGATCTGAGTAATGCAACATCTCGGGAACTATGTTATGGTGTTGGGCCGTTGAAGATAGCTACCAGGAGACCTTGAACTCTAGTTCTCTGACAGATAGCGCTATTCAACACAAAGTACCTGGAATTTTCAAGGAATTGATCCTCGCTGATGTGCTCAAATCCAGGTCATTCAGCTTACATTGTGAGACGTTACTAATGAGTCGAAATGGTCGAAATGTTAACGTCTTAGCATCAATTCCTTTAAGAATACAAACACCCCCTGATGATGCATGCCGACTAATTCAAAACATAGGTCTAGGCAATCCTGATGACTATCTTTAACCACCTGACAAGTAATAATATATTTTAAAATTTTCCTAATCTTCCGTGTTTTATACACTATATTATTTTTCTCCATTTCATAGAAACAGACTATGAGGAACCAGAAAGTCATATTGTTCGACATAAACCTGTTGGTATTAAAACATTGTTAAGGAAAACAAGATTCTCAAGAAAAGAATTACAAATTATGTATCAAGGATTTAAACAAGTAGAATTCTTTTTTACATTGATTACTAATTATCTGAGATCTCACAAATTTTTTACTTTTCAAACTATTATGTTAATTAAATTTGAAACCATAATTTCTGGTGAAAAGCCATGACCAGTGGAGTTCAACTAGGTCTGTTCTGAGATAGTAACTCACTGATGACAATGGTGGACGGTGGCGTATATTCTTGGATGGGTTGAAGTTAGACATTAACACCGTTGGATACCGGCTCAGTGGTCTAGAGGTTAAACATTCACGTGCGAGACTGATAGGTTCTGGGTTCGAATTCCACGTGTCGGGACCGTGGGTCCGCTCTGCTTAAGAGTCTCACAGTGGGACGAAACGGTCATTCAGGGCTTCCAGGTTTTCCATGGTGGTCTAGCTTCAATTGACTCTTGAATTCAATTATTAAATTAAAACATGTATTCACTTTCATATGTTACAAAGAAAAAGAATCAACTGATAAACATGAATTATGCATTAGATGATGAGATTTACTTCATATTTATTTCTGTAAAGAATTACAATTTCAGTTAGGGAAAATAATCATGATGCGACTAATGGTAAATTCTTTGAATAAACTAACAAGTAGAAAATTTTATTATTAATTGTCTACTTATTGGTTAATTTATCTCAAATTATTAAGTTAAACCTTAGCATTGATACTTACAAACTCATCATAATAATGAAGGCAGGTAAAATTCAATTCATGTTAATGATGTCATATGAGCTTGACAGAAATCTATTTTAACAGATTGTATATAGAGGTTTAGCTATAAAAGTACTAAACAAACCTCATAATCAACAATAATTTTTCTTACTAAATTGAATATAAAATCACTGTCAAAGAATTATCAGTGGTCAAAATACTCTATTTATTCAAGGAGTGAAACAATTCATTCAATCTCAACTAAAAATACTGTTATATTCAATAATAGAAGCATTAAGAGCTTCAATATTTCATTTAGTCTTTTTGAATAATATTCAAGTTATGGAAGAATAATGGAGAAACAATCAATTTTCCATAAATAAAAATGATTAACAAAATTGGTAGAACTTAGTACAAATCAGTGTTCATTGATGATAATGTTAAATGAACAACTTTCTATCTCTTGTATACAATCTACATAATTTCATTCTAGAACTCAACTAACTCAATTACTGAGAAAGTTGAAAACTAATATCGTTTCACGGCAAAAAAGATAAGCCGTTTGACGGCAGTATATATATAAATGGATTCATAAAAATCAACTTGAACATGAAAAAGAACGTTTCCACTGATAAATTTGTTAATCTCTTGACTTTTAATAAGTCAGCTTTTTTGTAATCCTTGTTTTATTTCTAAATATAACTAATATAAACTGTTATAACTTGTGAACTATATGCCCTGTTAATGTATAACGTAACGATACCGCCAATTAGAGAGCAGTGACTTATCGATCGGATCAATGACGCGTAAACCCGTAAGAGCAGTCTAGAGTCCTTATTGGCTGTGCTTCGTGCCTAGCCCAGCCAGTTAAGTCCAGAACACGGATCTCATCCTCTACAAATGAATTATTTATTTCAAACATACTGAGTTTATATACCAACCAAACAGACTGCATCGTACCACAAAATATGAAACAACATTTGTACAAGCATTAGCCAAATGTGGCCATGAATGAGGGAGGTAGTAAATAATAGACAGGGCATAATTCAAGAATGGTAGATCGTATAGTAATAGTTCATAGGTCAAAATAAAGCTCACAATAAAAGGGACATGAATATGAATAGTTTAGTTACATAACAATTATATGATAAAAGTGTACTCATATTATTTGTCCATAAATAGACCCCAAAAATTACCATTCATTATTCTTATCGGGACATAACATAAACCGGTAAACATAACAATAAATGCAACTTTTAATTTTATGAAATAAAAAGAGTAGAATATAAGTGAATACGAAACCATATCAACTTACTTAGTTGATTGAATAAAACGTAAATATAATTAATAAAAAGTGAATTTCAATAGTTGAAATCATGAGTTAATTAAAGCTAGACCATCATGAAAAAAGTGAATTTTCTACTTTTTCATTCTTATGATAGGTTTACTGAGTAATTAAGGTGAATAATGATTGTCAATGTTATAAATTCTGTTAGAAAAGGTTAATATGTAGAACGTGAACAGATTTCAAAAGCACGATATCCTATTATGTTTCAAGAAGGATCTGTTATGTTTCATCATGACAACTACTTTGGAAGAACCACGAACAGTCGATAAAGAATTTTGCTACATTTTATTCTAGCTAACAGTGTATTTTGAAAGTGTCAATAATTTGATAAGCTATGGACTCATCAGACAAATAGCGTAAACAAATATCTCTAGTTTAATTAATTTTTTTGCCAGCTTTTTTAAAAAAATAACCTATGGGAGTTGGTTTATTCACGTTTGAACCGAAATCTTTTCTGAAACTGCTGATCATTTCATATCGTTCACTTAAAATCACAACACTTGAGTCTACTCAAACTATTCAATGAAAGTTTTCTGAACAGAGATCGCTTGATATACCATCTTATATATGGTGATCAAATGTATTTATTACTCTTATAGATTAGAAATAATCATTTACTTTTCATTTGAACGAAATAAAGCCATCAAAAAAGACCTAATTATGCTCAGTAAATATTTAAACTTACAACCCCTCAAGACATCTTTCGTTGACATTTATAATCATTTCAAATGTACACAGTAATTTGTAATAGTTTTACAAGCTAACGAAAGATAGAAATAAATGAAAAAAATCAATTCTCAAATTATCAGATTGACCGAAACATTAGGAGTGTAATTTCACAGTGTTTATCGAAACATGGAAGACAAGGTATTCATCGAAGGGATCTCTTCAGTGAATTTATTATTCAACTGCACATCTGTATATATGTGTATAAGCTTTCTACTCGAACACTATAGACGGGATTAACAACTCTAAGTTCTGCTGGTCATGATTTTTTTATTTTCGCACTTTTATTTGACTTTTTCATGGATATGTGTTAAAGACAACACTCTCATCATCTGAATTTTCAGGAAGCGACCTCCCATTAGGAGATTCTCTTATTGAATTAGAATACGCAGATATTATAGCTGTATTTGAAGACGCTGACAAAATGTGAGGTCTTCTAACCTCTTTACTCAACAATTCAAGCATATCTAGGATACGTTTTTTCCCTTCTAAATGCCAAATTTTGCTTCAAAACTGGTGTCCAACAGCTCCTGAATTAATGATAGATGGTGAAGAAGTTGAGTAGGTCCATCAATTCACTTGTGTTGGTGTCTCACGAAATCTGTAAATGGATTCGAAAAACTTGTCTAGCTTTTGTCAATTTATGTCACTTGTGGCATAGGTGAGATACCCATCTTCCAATAAAAACGACTCTACTGCTCGGCAGCTCGTCCACTCAATTTTGTGTCTGTGAAACATGGCTTTTAAAAGTAGCAAATATTCATAGATTACTAGGATTCAATCATGGGTGTCTTTGATCCATTGCTCATATCTGTTGGGACCATCAAGTTGGCAATTTTGAGGTTAATGGCAGAGTACTAGGTAAGTTTGGCAATCTACTGACGCGGTAGTGAATCTTTGTCAACCGTGATAACTTGAACACTTATTACACTCGCCCATCCACCGACCAACTCTACATGCTGTGATATCTGATGTAGTAACAGGTTAGAATACAATTAATAATGGTACAACGAAGAGATGAGGCCAATCCATAAAGACACTGAATGTTGAACTCAGTCATATAGGTAAGTGGAGACTACCTGTTCGAGGTTTACGTGATTATCGTAACAAATGGTTCGAGGCTTTAAGTGGCATATTTCTAAATCGATCGTAATTGGAAAGGTGAATTCACCCTTAGTCTTCTCTTAGGTCTCACATTTCTGAATTCTCTATAAAATTTCTTATTTCAAAAATTTATATTTTATTGTCTCATTATATCTTCAATGCCTAATCTTTTCTATTACAACTAATACTGATAGTTCCTCTACAATGATATGGTTTGCTTTGAGAATTTCATTTCATTGTATTAATGGAGCGTAGCAAACTGAACTAATGTACATATGTACTAGGTTTTATGTTGAGTATGATTGACTGATTGATTAATAAAAACCTAATTAGAATATCACCTATTTTAGTGAAATTTCTATTGATAAAGTTAATTATTAAATGTGACGAAGTTTTCTATTGTGTCAATCATTTAAAAAATGATAAAAATGTCGGTCATGAGAGACTTTAAAGAAGATTGATAGAATTGTATTCACTGTATCCTGTTTAAAGTCTTTCAAACAATTTGTTTATAAAGAAAATTAAAAATATTTTCAACATTTTAAGGGGATTTTTAAAATTAGTTATTTTCTTCTTTCCCTTTTTTTTGTATTTTTAGGAATGTCCAGCTGGTACACTTAATGAAGATTCATTTAAAGATATCTACTGTAAATTTTTCCCTCAAGGAGGTAAGTAATAGTTACATATTTTAAGAATGATAATGATATATAATTGTACAACGGTTTGTTCATTGTTTTTTTCAAATGAACCTAATGGAATCTAACCAACTAATTTCAACAACAGGATGTGATTTTTTGATAAGCTATGGAGAAAAAAAATATTGTTGCCTTAATTGTAGCATCTCAAAACTGAAGTACACAGTCCGTACATTCATTTGAAAATGTTATGTAGATGACAGTTTAATTTTTATGTATCTATTTGTTTGTTTCATTTTTTCTTTGATGAAAGGAATCAAACTAAATAATTCAAATTACTTATCGCGGAATAATTTAACTTGAACTTATTAAACAATATGTAATATATTATGATCGAAACTCCAGTGTTAAAATGTAGTGTCTAGTACTATGTCAAGCCCAAATATTTTATTCTACCTTTCAGATAGATCGATTTATTCACTCCCCTTGACTCATATTTTGATCTTGCCAATTATGTGCTTATTAACCTTGACTTTTTATATGAGTGTATGTGTGTATTGCTTACCCTGTTCATCACTTACTTCGGCTTATTTTTGTCTGGCTGTAAATATTGAGTCAAGCTTCATCGAACAGAGTTGGGATGTTTGCCTTTTCGGACCTGCTTCAACGCTTCGTTTTCTCACTCCTCATTCTTAATGTTTGTCTGAAAAAATAAGTGCCTAAAATAAATTCATCAAACGCAACCCCTTATTTAGCGTCTTATTATAGTCGTCAGATAAATAGGGTTAATCTAAGTAATTTATCAAGTTAGATGGATGATTTATGTCCATATTTAATTCATTCATTCTTTGAAATTGGAATCAGACAAACGAGTCACCAAAAGTCTTAATTTTGACTGATAATCTAGACTTAATTCCTTCTAAATGAAAATTGATGCAAAATGTGACTGCGCTTAAGTATTCTGGAATAACAGACGAATAAATTTTAATTTTATATAATCTATGAAAGTATTCTAAGGTAATAAAATGTTGAAATCTATTTTAAATGTTAACGATTGACACTACTATTGTCTGTGAAAATACATAACTTGTTGATTTTTAGCTAATTGCTTTGGTCATTTATCATTTTATTGAACATCACTTTTATAACACACTTAAAAGTCATTCAGAATTATTAAGTTATGCTTTGTTGGATAGGGTCATAAGATGGTGGTTGGAGGTAGTCAACAGGAAACCCTGGACCCGGGTTTCGTGCTACTTGGCACTCGTTAGCAAGGTAATCTTGAGGGAACTGGTGATTCCTGACGGATTCGATCCCATGTCACCGAGCTTCACAGTCAGAGACGTTACCACTGAGCTATCCGGGCCGCGACCGATCTCCTGCAGTGCACGCAATGTCGAGTCACCTAGACTGGTAGCCACATTGGAACTTGGTCGATAGCATTCGATCTGCACTAAGAAGGACTTGACACACATGACATCAATCACCACCCAGTGGTCAATCATTGTGAGGGTCGATTTGTAGTTAAGTTTATCAATTTGTGCTAGTTGATAAATGATGATATATATTAAGTGAAATCAAACAATATAATTAATTAGATAAACACTACATATTAATAAAACAGTTTCACTTCTATCGATTATCAAATTTTCATGTTAAAGTCAAACTAATATTGACATTGAATCTTATTTATTACTTTACCTTGTCAAATTTATTACATAGCAAAATGAAATGTGTTCAGATTGAATAAAAGTAATAAACAAAATCATTTTTAATTGATTAAATAATTATAAACTCACATATTATGGTACAATTTTTAGTGTATAATGCATAAATCATCAGTTCAGTATTTATTCAATTGGACTAGATTAAACGATACTAATTTTTGTTGCAAATAAATTACTTTAGAATATAACTCTGATAAACTGACCCTTCAAATGTGTTGTAAAAATTCAATAATTTCCATTTGTAATTACAATTAAATAAATTATTTAGACGATAAACTTATCAAGTAATTAAGCAAAGATGGATAGTGGCTAGTAGAGGAATCCAGGACGCGCGTTTCGTCCAAATGACGAGTCCCAAGTAGGACGAAACGCGCGTCTCGGATTCCTCTACTAGCCACTATCCATCTTTGCTTAAAAAGCTTGTGAATTAAGGCAATATCGAGGCAATTCGCACAGGATGCACATATGTCAACAAGAAACTGGTCAATTGTAGACCTAAATAACATTGGGAAGATACAAGTAAAACAAAACCAAGTGAATTTATCAAGTAATTGTTTTTATTAAAAAAGGTTTAGTGATTAAAAGATATTTGCTGTACGGTAAAGTTCATTTAAATAACCTCTGATTATTTATCAGCTTAAACACCTATTTGAATTACAGTCATAATGTCTTACATCTTAGTCTTAATCAAAGTAATTAATAAATGAATGTACTTTTTCTACATTAAAATTTTTTACTTATGTGAATAGTCTACAGTGAACTTTTTATTCATTTGTTTTAATCAATTATAGTGTATTTGTGTATAAATTAATGACATTTAATTCACAGTTTTATTTCAGAAAATAATTTACTTTTAAAGTTTGGTAAATACTTATTCAGAGAATGGGGTTTGTAGAGATTGTAGTAATTTTAATAGTTGAATTCATGGGTCGATGTAAGCTAGACCACCATGGAAAACATGGGACAACTGGATGGCCATTTTGTATTAGTGTGGGACTCCTCAGCGTTCTCGTTGATCGAATTCTCGAGCACTGATCTCCTACCAAGAGGTCCACTTATCTACTTAGATACGCAGATGACATAGTCCTGTTTGGTGAAGATGCTGATAAAATTCAGAGTCTTTTGGTAGCACTGAGCAACAATGCCGAGATGTTTGAGATGCGTTTCTCCTCCTTTAAATGCAAGTTGTCTCTTCAGGACTGGCCTGCGTCTATACCTGAACTAAGGATAGGGAGTGAGGCAGTCAAACGCATCGACAACGTCACTTATCTCATAGGTCTGATCAAAATTAATGGGTTGATGTCCGATGAAATCTCTTCACGGGTTCGAAAAGCTCGTTTGGCTTTTGCCAACGTACGTCACCTATGGAGAAGGCGAGAAGACGAGCATACTGCTCGACATTTCGTTCTGTTGTACTTTATAGCTGCAAAACGTGGTCATTAAGAGTAGAAGATACTTGTAAGCTAGTGTTTGACCACAAATGCCTCAGAAATATTGCTTACATCTTATGGGATCATCGGGTAAGTAATAGTGAGGCTAGATGCAGGGTATTAGGGAATGCTGGTAAATCAGTTGATGAGGTTGTGAATCTTCATCGAATGAGATGATTGGGCCATGTGTTATGTATGACTGAACACCGATTACCACGACGTGCAATCCTAACCGGTGTTGGAGATGGTTGGAAGAAAGTTAGGGGTGGCCAAACCAAAACGTGTCATCAGTCCTTGAAGTCACTAACTTCTGGTCCAAACCATGTTGGCAGATGCAGACTATTTTGTTGGGATCCGCATGACTATCGTAATCAATGGTTGGAGACTCTGAGTGACATGGCTCAGAATCGATCACAATGGTGTAGGTGTATACACTCGTTATCTTCCCTTAAGCTATGAGATTAAAATCGATTCATAACTTTCTTTCTACGAACTAATTCTTTCCTCCTGTACTATATCCTTATATACAATCTTTCTTTAATATAATACCATAATTGAATTAGCTACTTTATGAATTCGGTATTTATCTTGTTGTGCTAATGAGGTATGGCAACTTGGACCGATGCATGTATGTGCCTGGTCCTATGTTGTAGCCGACTAACTGACTAACGCCATCAGTGCTCACCCACGACCATGTTCGCGGGATTCGAACCCAGGACCTTAGATCTCGCATGCAAACGATTAACCTCTAGTCTGTTGAGCTGGTTGGTATCTAACGGTGTTAATGTCTAACTTCTATCGATCTATGAAAGGCTGGGCAACCAGTGCTTCCAGGTTTTTCATGATAGTCTAGCTTACGTCAATACATGAATTTAACTATTAAAATACTTATTCAACAAAAAGCCCTTTGAATAGAAACATACTCACTCACAAATGTGTATTCGAATGCTATGCCAACAAATGTTTTCTCTTTTTTTTGTAACTATTCATCAAGTGACTTTTTATAAATACTTAGTCTATAATGACAAAAACTAAGGGACATTATAATGTGCAATAATATATTGTTTAACTGAAAATACACCTCTAACCAACAGAAACTATCTAATTAATTCAACGTTACAAGTTACTGATATAATTCGTTAATAAAATAAATTTATTTTTAAAAAAATTCTATGAATGAATCGATCTCCATTTTTATTTTTGGAAAGAAAAAAAAATGCAAAGAAACAAATTTGAAAAAAACAAAACAACAACTTTAATGTACTTCCACTTGTCTTTCAATAAATATGCTTGTGTATATGCTTTGCATTAGATACATTTAAACTCAATTAGAAATGGACAAATTTGATTTATGCTTGTATATAATGGATATATTGATTACCCGTGTCCAGAACATATTTTTTTTTGAAAAAATCTCCGAATGTATTGTATTAAGATAGACTGTGAGAATAGTATATAATCAACTAGTATTTAGCATTGATATAAGTAGAATGTACTATGAATTATATAAATGTAATATAATTTTACATGATTATTTGGTTTTATTTACTTTTATGGATGAAACCTTTCATTTGTTAAGAATCATTGATGAATATAGGTGTTTATATGAGAACCAATGACGATGTAGATGGTTATACCTATAGGTTTTCAGTAAAATTCTAAAAGGTCAGTATTAGTTCAGCTAACGCATGTACTGATTTGACGTTATGCTAGTAGTTATAAAAAGCTTGTATAGGATTTGAATACAACCATTACTGATCTATTCTTGTAAAACGTAATTACAGCGGATTGAAAATGTTTAAGAATACTTCCATCACATTTCTTGCTTCTGGTAGTAAACATTGTAATCATTGTTGAGTCTTGTTCTCTTACGTTT